AGGGGGGGGGGGGGAACGATAAGCAGATGGGATCGCACGAGTAGAGCGCCCGACAGCCTCAGCCACAGCGCCACACAGCCCCAGTGCATGGGTAAAGGGGAGCGGACATCGGCAGGGTCAGGGTTTCGCTGCCAGCCCTCCCCCTCCCTGTTCGCACATCGCCTTGCCTGGGTGATGGTCGCTGCCACCCACGCTGACTTCCCCGAGCCTGGATGGACCCGCGCCTCGACCCAAGCTCACGGCGAGCAGACTATGGGCCGGGAGGCGCCTCGCTCGCCTCGCCCGTGACTCACGCGCCGGCGATGTGACCGGAGTGACATGACTATGCGGCCACCTACCGCAGGCCCGCCCGCCACGCCGCGCCACGCTGCGCCGCGCCACGCTGCGCCGCGCCACGCTGCGCCGCGCCACGCTGCGCCGCGCCGCGCACACCGCCGCGGTATCGCAGTGATTCACGGCCGGCCAGCTGCGGTCCATGGTCCAGGCCCAGGACCCGGACTGCAAAGGCCCAACCTTCGAGAAATGGAGGCCACCGAGAGCTGAATCACCGACTGTCCGCCGTGCCTGATATTATACTAGTGTTGGGAAAGAAGATAATGTTTCTGGGGGAGAAAATTGTTTTTCCCGTGCGGTTGTAATTGGTTCGGCTACACCTCTACGGTGCCTGTTGCCCGTGGCAGCCGCAGCCGCCAGTCCAGGATGACGCCACGGTCAGTGTGAGGTGCGGAAGGTCACCTTGCGGGGGCAGGGCGTGGCGGGGCGGGTCCACAAAGTTACGCGATGCCCATGGGCTAGACGTCAGTCGGGGGGTTTGGATCGGTGTAGTATGAATGAACTAGTACCTGTCCGGCTACGCGAGGGAAAGGGGGCACATTAGGCCTTTATAGGCGCGATGGTGCGGACTGTGCCGGCTGTTTCTTTCTCTGCTCTCCATGCAGTGTGGTTCGGTGGCGGTTTTGCCTATGACATCCGCACTACAGGGTGGCCGCTGTGCCCGGTTGAAGCAAATGCGTATACCAACCAGCATGCAGGCGTGCGGACGGGTTGCCTATTCCGTACGGGGCCTCACGGCGCCATCATCGCCACACACGATAGGCGAACCCGTCTGCACCCGTCGTGTATGCGGGCTAGTAACTAATACGCATTTGCTTCAACGGGGCACAGCTGCCACCGTGGGTGCATCGCGGATGCAGATCTCGATGTCTGGATACACTCTCGACTAGTCTCGGACTCTGTTAGGCACCGACTATCCCATGAAAATAGTTCAAATACGATACCGTCAGAGAAAAGAGTCCGTGTGCTCGTTATGCAATGCGATATGGCTTCGGGAGAGAATTCCCAGAGCCGGACCGACCTGGCCCCGGCCGGCTACCGCGAACCGCGAACGTCAGGGGACAGTCATGTTATTCGAAACTTTTTCGGGGCGACCCGGGCGCTAGGCCTCGACATGCCCCGGTGGAGTTCTATGCTGTTCCACACGGGTAGGATGACGTCACGCCTGGACGAGCACGCCACCAAACTGTGGGGGCCGGAGGCGCGGGGCGGGGTCGAGAGGTCAACACACACGTGTTGTGTGCGCGAATGTAAGCGCCCAGCCAGGTGATAAAGAGATTGCCAGCGTTGGGGGAGGAGAGGGGAGGGGTGAGGAGGAGAGCAGGTGTCGGTGCTACCGGCGGCGCAACCATGCATGTCATGAGTCCCTGCTCGAGACGGAGGTAATGACGGCAATCCCCTCCTGCCGTGAGTGTCTCGTGCCCCCCATATACCCGACGCGTCTCACACGTCTCACTGCATCTCTCGCCGACTGATTGCCTCCCCCCTCCCCCCCCTCCCCTCCCCCGCCGCGCACGGCATTGGCACCCCTTCGAACTCGGCACGAGTTTGTAAAGCAAATGCACGATCTATTTTCGTTGTTTTTACTTCATTTCTTCCGGGGTGAGGAACCAGGGAACCAGCGCAGCGCGCCGGCCGGCACGTGCCGCACCGCGCCTCGGACTGATTTGCAAATCGGGCGTCGACATCTTTGTCGCAGAACGCGGAACTGCCCTAGGTCACGTACACCCCTCCCCCTCCGCAGCCCTCCGACGTGGTTCACACCCCCCCGCCAACGCTCTGCAGTCAGTCCCCCCTCCCTCTCCTTCATCCTCCTCCACC